GCAAAATGGTTTGATTCAATTCCACGAACATTTTTATAGTGTTACCTGTAGCTCACAGCAACTTCAAACTCCTGGGCTCAAGCAGTCCTTCTGCCTCAGCCTCCCAAGTAGCTGGGACTACAGGCATGCGCCACCATGCCCGGCTAATTTTTTCTATATGTATATTAGTTGGCCAATTAATTTCTTTCTATTTATAGTAGAGACGAGGTCTTGCTCTTGCTCAGGCTGGTTTCGAACTCCTGACCTTGAGCAATCCGCCCGCCTCGGCCTCCCAGAGTGCTAGGATTACAGGCGTGAGCCACCGCGCCCGGCCCAAAAGTGCTTTTACATGAAGTACAGAACAGAACCGAGGAAGACAGGAGGCAGGAGGTGGCCATCCTGAGCTGGGAGCTTCAGAGTCCCCGGGTGCTGGGAGGAGGGTGCAGGGAAGACTCAGCCCTGCTGGCCAGAGCGAGGACGCCCGGGGGAGACGTGCGGCTGGTGACCACTGGGCCCCATCTTCCATCTGCCCGTGAGCAGGGGAGGGAGGAAGGGAGCACCTGTGACTGCCCGGACCCTCACTCTTCTCATCTGAACCGCAGCCACCACTGCCATTGGCTGAGAGGGACACCTGAGGACCACAGAGCCACCTCCCTTCCACCAGGCTTGCGGCTGGCCGTGGGCCATGCCTTGAGCATCAGCCCCACCTTGCCACCCGCCAGTCAGCGGCCCCAGCTTTCCACAGCTAACCCTGCCGTGTGCGAGCACGGATGGGCCACCGCCCGACTACCGCCGCCCGACTACCACCGCCCGACTACCACCGCCCAACTACCGCTGCCAGGCCACAGGTGGCTCCGACTTGACGTTAGAGCAGGACACGACCGGAACACGGTGAGGCTTAGCTTTGGGGCAGACTGGCTTTGCCCCCACTAGCTGCGTGGTGAGTTTCCAAGTCTATAAAATGAGGAAGATGATGCTGTGTCACAGGAGACTTGGGAAGGTCCAACTGGGTCACAGACACATAGTCCCTGGCGCAGTGCCAGCCGGCGGTGGTCTTGGCCGATGCTAGTGCCCTCCCCGCCCCAGCCCTAGTTATGGAAGGGTGGGAGGCAGGGGGGTGTTCTTCCAGGAGGAGAAGCACCGTGGGGGCTCAGCTTGGAGACAGGGTTAGCACTGTGCCGTGCGGACGGGGAGACGCAGTTCGGCCGCACGAATGGCCTGCACAGAGGTCCGGGGTTTCGAAGCAGCGCTGCGTGTTCAGAGGACCAGACACGGTCCAGAGGAGCAGAGAGCTAAGTTACAGCACGCACCTACGGGACCACCTGGGTGTTCTGTCAAAAACGCCACTCCTCTGTGTCCCCATCTGGCATAGGTGCTTCCTGCCCAGCAAGGATCCGATCGCCTTGGCCCTGAAGCCGGCCCACCCCCAAGTGGGAATTCCTGCCTCCCTCCCCTGCCCCCAGCTGTCATTAAATCCCGGCTGCAGGCCGTGCCCTGCTGCCCCGGGTCCCCACAGCTCGGGGTTTTACACGAAGCTGCAGCATGTCAATGAAATGCAAGAGAGGTCAGAGTGGCATCTGTACGAGGTTTGCCTCTGTGCATTCGGAAAGCCACTCCGAACAGGAGTTGCAAGATGTTCTGCACATGGTGTAGCTGTTGGGTTTGGCACGGGGCCCACGGACCCTGGAAGGAAGCATCCATTTGGGTCGTTTCTCTGAAGATCAGCACATTGGCTTCCAAGCCTGCCCCGCCCACAGCTGGCTTCTTGCTGTGGCACCAGGTATTAGAAAGGGCAGGACATGGAGTAGGGTGACCAAAGCCCAGTCGGGGACCGGCCAGCGACCACAGGCGGGGTCTCGGGTTTGTGACTTTACTTTCCAGGACTCCAGTCACCCTGTTTGTCATACAAGAGAGATCACTTATATTAAAACACAGCAGGCACTAAAAAGCATACAGCAGCTCTGAGCTTACGATGGGTTACATCCTGATAGACAGACCTGTGGTTAGGTTGAAAATGCATTTAATATCCCTAAACTACCAAGCACCACAGCTTACTACCCTAATCTGCCTTAAACGTGCCCAGAACAAGTACTTTACCTCCCTGGGACTCAGTTTTTCCATCTGCGAAACGGGGATACAGAAAGCAAATACTTCGTAGAGGTTGTTGAGAGAATTCAACGCAAGGATACGCATGAAACGCCTCAGTCCCGCGCTTGCCTGCAGGAGGCTTTAACAGGCAGCGGGCACGTTCCGGCCCGGGGTGGCAAGGGCTCTGCCTGCAGAACTCGAAGCCAGGCTTGTCCCCATTCAGCAGGATGTGGCTCCTCAGCCTGGCCAGGCCTCCTGCCAGGCCCGCAGGAAAGGGGGGGCTCCGGAAACCTCCACATCAAGTCCACGAGTGTCCACGGTTCACAAAGACAGCATGTGCTAGAAAGCAGCAGTCAAGGGGAGCAGTGGGGTCTGACCAGGAGAACCCAAAGCTCGAAGACCCGGGGCTGGAGTGTTCTGGAACAATTCAAGTTGGCTTTTCTGGGGACTCCTGTCTGTGGTGTGTGGTTGGCTCCCTTGGGGGTGTGGGTACTTGGGGGAACCCACAGACCTGTGACCTCTGTCCCCTGCCCAGCTCCGAAGCTGTCAGGTGGGTATCCCCTGGCAGTGCCGCCTGGCCGGGAATTCACTTCGACTTTGGCTCTGCCCAGAGGCCTTCCTTGGCTCCCCTGGCAAAATTGTTTCTTCTGGGCTGCGGTATCCAGAGTGAAAGCTAATGAGGGTCTGAAGGCCAGGCAGAAAAATTGCAACCAGTTTTATTACTACGGATAAAAGCCAGGCAGAGGGAATTGGAAAGTGCCCCTGAGCTAGAGACAGAGGCTCAATTCAGCTCAGGTCCTCGGAAGCCACGCTGCCAACTTCTGCCTGGCACCGCGGCCCGGTGGAGTCTGCAGGGTGCAGATCGGGGTCCTACTGAAACTTCCCAGCTCCCGTTCGGAGTGTGCAGTCAAGAGCTGAGCCAGGGCACTGTGCAGGCCCCACGTGAACACACTCGGACTGAAAACGGGAGAAAGGGCTGTGGCAGGGACGAAGGGAGGGAAAGCGAAGCTGCGAGGACATGTGAGAAATAGCGACCTCAGACAGGCCTGGCGTCCCAACGGGGCTCCTGACAACCCAGCTCACCCAGGACCAGCGTCACGGAAACTCTCAGGAAGACCAGTGTGACATTTTCAATGGTTCTTTTGGCAACAGGGAAGATTGAAGGCCTTCGGAGGCAGAACCCGCCGCTTCAGCTTCACGTCTGTCTAGAAACGAGCCCGCGTGGCTGCCGAGGAAGACACGCTGGCCCAGCCTCTAAACAGAGTGGGTTTTGATTTGCAACCTGGAACGCTGCTGGGGAGATTATGATTCGCAATTACTTAAATTGTATCCGGCGATTCAATTTCCATTAGGCCTTTTCCCACTTAACCAGAGGTAAAGAGATGAAAAATGGTGTTCGTTTTTTATTTTAATCTAATAGATGATTATACTAGACTTTTAAATAGGTGCTCCCTCCTGGCTGACCAGCAACTTCTGCTTACTGTAATTAGGCAAACAGGCCCTCCCCCCCCAAAAAAAAAACCAAGGGAAAGAAAGGGGATTTTTGCATGAGTTACTGAGAAAATCAATGAGCTCTTGCAACTTAAAACTTGAAAGAACTTCAGCCTAACGGTGGAGGGCAGGTGGACGGAGAGCATCTGTGACGAGCGTCTCACCTGCATGTGGCCGATGCATGGTGACACGTGTCATATTCGATTAGGGAGCATGACTTGTTTCAGCTTGCATATTTGGCTCATTATTTTAAAAATAATTTTACAATCTCACAAAATCATTTACTTTAATAACCTTCTCGCTCTCACGTTCTGTGAAAATCTACAATCTCAAAAAGCCCACCCATATGTAAGCAATTGGACTGAAAATTTCCCATGTGTTACTGGAAGATTTTTTTAGAAAACAGATCAGTTTTCAAAACAAAGGCTTAGAGTAGGTCACTATTTTAGGAAGTGGACAATCACTGAACTCATTTACCAGTGGTCGCTGCTATCGTCCCCTTTCTTGGATTTCCTTTTAGGGATTCCTGCCTTTACTCGAGTCCCCACCAAATGCACAGACGAGGGAGCAGCCCACGTTTCAAACGAACTAAAAGATGAGCATGTTGCTTCACAGCGTCCGCGGGCCAAGCGCACGCAGCACGCTGCAAAAGCCGAAGTGTTTCTTTCTCTCCCTAACTGTGGGGCTCAGCCGAGGAGCTGTCGGGTGCAAGGCCCTCCGGGTTTGGAGATTCTGCTGTCCAGGACCAGGACAGGGGTCCGCCGGGTCCAAGCCGCCTCGGCGGCGCGCTCTGCGCACCCGAGCGCACTGCGCCTGCTTCGCACAGAGCGCTACCGCGGAGAGCCGTGGCTTTGCGGCGCAGGGCGGCAGGGCCCTGCCAGCTGCCTGCATCTGGCTCGGCAAGGTGGGGGGTGACCCGGCAGCCCAGGGTGGCATCACAGCAGGGCGGCTGGGCTAGAGCGCTGGGACCTGAGATACAGAGGCGTAGTCCCTGCCGGCCCGAACCCCGAACCGCCGCGCGCCCTGAGCCCAGCCGCCGGACACTGGACACCAGCACCGAGGAGCCGCCCGGAGACTCGGATCAGGATCACACCCGCAAACTTCTTTCAGGAGCTCGGACTCAGGGGTGGTAGAAGAGAGTTGGACGGGAAGATTGTCTTGGGACAAAGGACCAATTTTGGCAAAAGGGGAGAACACTCCCCACCCGCCCACGGAGGGACTACCCCGGCGAGTCCCAGTTCGGGAGACCGGGTCCCGTGCCTCTGGCATTCCATGCACGTGTCTGGACCCCACTGCCCTCAGAGGGTGCCACCTCCATCCAAGTACCCAGGGTGGGGTGGGCACAGCGGCGCCGCAGCGCAGCGGCCGGGCGCGGGCAGGATGTCCGATCCCCCCTCCCGGGACGCGCGGCACGGGGCAGGCAGTGCGGCGGCGGGACCTACCAGCGCGGCCAGGATGCGCCGGCTCTTCTCGTCGGTGCAGCGCTCGGAGAGGACGCCCGGGTGCGCGCGGAGCAGCAGCGCGCCCGCCAGCACCCAGCCGGCGGTCCACGCAGCGCAGGCGAGGAGCGCGCCCTGCCCGCACCGCCGCACCGCCGCGCCGCGGCCCGGCCCGCGCGCCCGCCACCCGCCCATGGCAGCCGGCCGTGCCCCGCCCCGCCGCCGCCCGTGCCCAGCGCCCCGCGCTCGGGTCTCGGCTCCGCGGCTCAGCCTGGCGCGGCAGGGAGTGGGCGGGGGAGGGCAGCGCGAGAGGAGGGGGCAGGCTCCGGGCCCCGCCTCGCCCTGGGGGGCGTCCAGCGGCCACAACCCGCGCACCAGGGCAGTGGATGGGGTCCTCCCGCCGCACGCCCCGCTCAACTCTCCCCAGCCACCTTTGCACTTTCCTGGATTGTTTTTTCTTGCACATTTCCCCCAGGAAGCCCAGCTCCCCATTTGAAAGGAATCCGGGTAGATTCAACCCCCGCCCCTTTTTTTGCACGCCCGGCCCTCTGTCAGCACATCTTTAATTGCCAGATAAGATCCCCCTTCCCTCCGTGGGCGCTCCGGGCAGCCGCCGCGCGCCATCCTCTGCAGAAGCCCCCACCCCACCGTCCCCGGACCCCTCGGCGCTCTCGCTGCAGCTCCGACCCCCACCGCTTGCCTCTGCCGGACGCTGTCCTCCCCTGAGTCCGACCCCAGCCTGAGTTTCCTCCGGGCTGTGCGCAGGGTCAGGGATCGAGGGTCAGGGACAGTCAGGCGTCCGGGCGACCCGGCCAGACCCTTCCCACGGGCACCCCCGAGTCACACCTCCGAGTCTCCGGCTGCCAAAACCTCGCGGGGCGTCAGTCTCAGGGGCGAAAAGGGGCCGCACTCGGTAAACATTTCCTTTCCCCCCCGGCGAGGAGCAAGCGCGCACCAGACGTGTCCAAAGCTACATTCGTGTGTTCGCGCCCTCACCTGGGGGCACGCTTCCGCGCGCGAGCCCGGCGGCCAGGTGGAGTGCTCCGCGCCCATCCAGACGCCTGGGCCCGCAGACGCGTCCGTGGCCCTCGCCGGCGGCCCCCGCCCCGCCCGAGCCGCCCCCGCGACTCCGCAATCGCCTTTCTGCGGCGAAGACTGAGCCGGGCGCCCGCCCGAGGGGACCGGTCACAGCCGAGGGCCCTGACGCCGCCGCGCCCGCGTCCGCTTAACAAAAGCTCATTCAGCGCCGGCCGGTCCCCACCGCCCTCCCGCCTGCCCCGGCCTGGACTCCCCGAGATCCCTTCCCGGGCCGGGGAAGGCGGGAAGCTCTCGCCCTGATAAACTCTGTAATTACCCCGCAAGAACTGGCTTCTGAACCTTCTCGTTCCGACTCGCTCGTTGAACGAGTTTCGTGGCTGGCTCAGGGGCAGAAGGAATGACGCAGCATCGGACGCACCAACGCGCAGCCCTGAGGAGCACTTGGGGCATGGCACAAGCGCCGTGGGCCCCGGGGTTCGGGTCTCACCCAGTGGGTAGCGGCGGCTGTCCCCACCCAGGACACACCCAGCCAGGGCGCCAAGTGTGAATAGTCGCATAGGCCGGTTGGGTGGAACCTTTGATGTCCCATTTCAAGATAGGTGTGGAGCACAGGAGACAGCCAGGACAGGCCTTAAAATCTCAGTGGTGTGAAGCTGCTTTCTTTTCCCAAGGATTTTATTTGGTGTGGGGAGGAGGGTGCGGCAATGGGAAGGAGAATGCGATAAAGAACTATAACCATTTATACTGTAAAAGGTCGGAATAAAAATCACAGGGTGAAAAAGCTGGACTTAAAATCGAAATTAACATTAGGATTTGCAAGTTTTACTTTTGTAACTTTTAAAAATCTGTTATTAAGCACACTTCTTTTGGCATTTTATTAAGAAAAATATACAGAAGAAAATAATTTCGTTTAATAAAAATAATCACACAATAAAGGGATCTTTTTACCATTCGGCATTGTTTCAATACAGAAGTGAAGGTACTCTCTAGAGCCAAATGAAATCCTTAGACTCAAGAACCTACTCAGGGTTAGCATCCTCTTGTGCGGTTTGTGCACTGCGTAAAGCCAGGTGGGGCGGAAGTCCACCAGAGTCTAGTTCACCAAGCCCTTTTCCTGGGGGGCCCAGAGCAGGACAGCTCACCAGAAGGGACACCTTTATTACTGTGTGTAGAAAGGACGCTCTTTAAAATTATTATTCACAGAAAGGTGACTTGTAGGCTAGCTGTAGCTTGGTACTAAAGATACTCCCCTAGAGCAGTACAAAAGTAAACAAATAATCACATTATTTGCTGCAGGGTTCTGTTTAATTCAAAATGACTGGCAGCCTTGGGGTAGGGGGTAATAGGTCAAGATTAAGGATACAGGCAGAGCTGGGGAGGTAGCTTGGCCCAGAGCCAGCTGCACATCAAGTTGATTTGAATAGACTTTGACTCCTTAAAAAAATTGCATGAAATCCAAGAACTACTTTCCCCTACTCTCTTGCCCCAAATTATGAAAACTGAGATTATATTAGAGTATTGGAATATTAGAAGTGACTGAGTACAATGATTCCACCAATCATGATATCAAACTCAATTCACACAGAAATTTACAAGGTATCTCTCCTTTGCCTTGAAGGAAATGTCCGTTTATCTCTGCATAATAACGGCACGAGCAGGTGAAAGACACCCCGAGATTCTAGAGTCCAGAGCCGGTGCCCCATGCAGGAGTCTCCGGCATATACCCAAATGCAGGAAAGCGAATCCAGCATGTAATTAGGGTTGGTTTGTTTTAGTTAAGCACTTACTCTATATTTATTAATTTATTTCTTTCGTTGGACTAGAGGATCCTTGAGGGTAGGACTGTATCTTATTTAGCCCCAGTACCTAATATGCACCTGATACCACGTAGGTCCTTAAATGTCTGCTGAGTAAATGATGGGATTTAGCGTATTAGCATTTCCTCTGAAAAATCAGAAAACTGAGCACCCTGTGGAATCTGTCTCGAGGAAGGCTTTTAACGCATAAATATTTCTTTCTGATTTCTCGAGGCTAAATTGAGCAATCCAGGAACCTCACAGCATAAGGAATACGTTTGAACATATCCGTTGGGTCCTGAACTCATCTACTGACAGGTGAACTGTCACTGACAGCTGAATGTGACTCTTTTGCTTATGGGCCATTACTGGAAGCAAAATGAAATTCTATGCTTTTCCGACTACCCTAGACAGGAGGGTTACTAGTGCTCATTCTACTGCGTTTCTGTGGGCTCGTGGCAGTGAGCATGTCACATGCCCATCCACGTCATGGCAGTCTCTCCCAGTGGCCTGCCTCGGTCTAGGAAACTGTCCAGCACTGGCCGACTGCACCAGTCATTTGCAGGAGTTAGAACAGAACAAGGTTTTAATTTTGTGCTCAGTTTTGCTACGACCCCTTTTCCCCATCCCAACAGTGGCTGCCACTATCGATCCTAGTGAAAGTGTAGGAAGGGGGTGGCCCCTTTCGGAAGGGGGGCAAGTTTCTGGTCCCCTGTGGGCTGGTGGAACGGTGAGGGCCGGCCAAACCACCTCTGCTCAAACACAGTCCATGTTCTAGAAAGGTCACCTCTGTTGTCATGTGGGTCTTACTGTGTCTAGATACTTACCTGGCTTTCCTCTTAAGTGAGATCAGCCCTATTTATAAAATGTGAATTTTGTTTGGAAAGAAAGAAGGCATTGTGTAGTCTGGAGCTAGCCAGGGTAGGTCTCACTGGGAGTCCCTGACAGCAGGAGGACAGAGTCCCCAGCGGTGAAGGGCGCCGTGATGGAGAAAGCAGCGTAGGATGACAGCAGAGAAAGGTGGGTTTGTTTTGCCCTGAAACTGTCAGGTTTATAGAGCCCCTTGACTGTTTCCCACTAATGTAGGATAATGAGGGATTCTTTTGGGATACAGACGAAGATTTAGCAACAGGGTGTTCTTTATACCACGGTTCCTAATAGCACCGAGGTTGGAAGTAACCTAAATACGCGTCGTGAGGATCGGTTAAGTAAACCTACGTCGTCCGTCAGTGGAAAATGCTGCTGGCATAGAGAACTGTGAGGTGAAGTGTATGTTGACAGGAAAGACATTACAAAAGCCTGGCGTTTCTCCTAGTCCTGAACCTCCTCCCCTCTGCTCGCACATCCCGAGTTTGCTTGGGGGATCACACTCCCTCAAGCTCTGTCCCTGAGGTTTGCCCCACCTGCAGCGCCAGGGGTGGGCTTGGGACACAGCCCGCTGAGGACAGTTCATGTCCCCGGCCACAGGGGCTGGCCAGGCAGACCCCCAAGCCCCACAGGCCAGGAGGAGCCAAGGCGCGTGTTGGACTGTTGCAAAGAGAAGCCTTGTGTGGGCGAGACTGCCAGGCTGGGAGGGTGTGGTTGCCGGGGCCACCACGAGGGGGAATCCCTGCCCGGTAAGTGGGAGGCAGGGATGGGGAGGACGTCCTTTGAGCTGCCCACTTCTCAGTCGCCCAGCTGAGCGGCTCCCTTTGTGGTTTAAGCCAGTCTGGGTTGGGTTTCCGTCTTTCACAGTGGAAAGCGTGTTGGCCGGTACAGATGTTCACGGAACCATTGTGTGAAATAGCGGGTTCCAGGACATTAGCTTCCATGTGATTCCATTTTAGTTGTTTTTTATTTTTTTTTAAGCATACCATATGCTTATTTATGTGTACGGAAAATTCTGAAAAGAGACATGAAAATGTTTATGGTGTTGTCTCTAGTCGGAATCATTGCCGGTGAGTTTTATCTTATTCTCTTTGCTGACGTCAATGTTCTAAATCCATTCCAGACAGCACGCGTTATTCGCGTAATAGCAGAGCAGTGACATCGAGAAAGAAGAACCCCCCAAAGGCCCTCGGGCCTCAGAGTCCTGGCATCTGTGGCATCTGGTTCCCCGGGGGCTGCTGTGGACAGGAGGACGTCGGAGAAGCGCAGCCCTCGTCCACGCCACCCTGGCAGAGTTGTTGCCCCGTCTCTGGCGACCTCTCAGCCTTGTGGTGATGCTTAACTTGATAAGAGCTCATTCATTCATTCATTCATTCCATAAGCACTATTGAGCAGCACGATCTGGGGTTAAAGATGTTCAGACGAATAGACCGGACCTCAGCCCCCTTGGCTAGGGAAGCTGACGTGAGCCGATCTATCTACAACTTGGGACCG